GAAGAAGAAGGGGAAGAAGAAGGGGAAGGGAAGAGTGGGATGGCTTCTAAGTCGACTTCAAATCCACTTTACCCGCCACGAGGCGCCTTAGCTCCTCCAGGTTAATGAGCCCCCCGTTGTCCACCCTCGTTGCCATGCACGTCTCTATCAGCTGCACTCCTGAAGGAGGAGGGATGGGGAGGGGGAGGGGAAGGGGAAGGGGAAGAGAGAGGTGGGGTGACTTTTGAGTCAACTCAAAAGCCACCCTGCCCGCCACGAGGCGCCACAGCTCGTCGAGGTTTATCAGCCCTCGCCACAGCCCCCGTTGTCCGCCCTCGTCGCCATGCACGTCTCTATCAGCTGCACTCCTGGGAGGAGAACTGGGGGGAGGGAGAGGAAGGGAGGGGAAGAAGGGGAAGCGAAAAGTGGGATGGCTTGTAAGTCGACTTAACATTCACCTTGCTCGCCATGAGGCACCTTAGCTTCTCAAAATTGATCAGCCCCCCATTGTCCGCCCTTGTCGCCATGCACGTCTGTATCAGCTGCACTCCTGGGAGGGGAGGGAGGGGAAGGGGAGAGGAAGGGGAGGGTAAGGGGAAGGTGAAGGGGGAGGGGAGGGGAGGGGGAGGGGGAGGGGGGGAGAGGGAGGGGGAGAGGGAGAGGGAGGGGGAGAGGGAGGGGGAGGGGGAGGGGAGGTGGAGGTGGAGGTGGAGGTGGAGGGGCACACGCCATGGGATACAAAAAACCATGGCATGATATGATATGGCATGACATGGCATGGCATAACATGGCATGGCATGACATTACATGGCATGGAATAACACGGCATAGCATGAACGCATGGCACACAGTGGATGCTTGTTCGCTCGCATCAGTCAATCGAAGCGAGGGGGAGTGAGGCGGGTCGCATCAAGTTCGTAGTACAAGTCTTCGAAGCCCAGCAGCTCGTTCGAAAAGCCCTTGTTGGAGGCCAGCGGGTTTTGAGTCGAATCAAGATTCCCCTCACCAGTCGACTCAAGAAGCGCCTCACCGAGTTCGTAATAGAAGTCACCGAAGCCCAGCAGCTTTTGGGAATTCTCAGAAGAAGTCTTCGTTGGAGCCGAGGGGTGTTATGACTCAATTCAAAAATCGCCTCACTGAATTCGTAGTAGAAGTCACTGAAGCCCAGCAGCTCATTCCAAAAGCCCTTGCTGGAGGCGAGGGGAAATTTGAGTCGACTCAAGAGTTGCCTTGCCGAGTTCAAATAACTTTTGAGGAATCTCATAAGTGTCTGCCTCACCGAGTTCGTAGTAGAAGTCACCGAAGCCCAGCAGCTCGTTCCAGAAGCCCTTGTTGGAGGCGAGGGGGTCCACCCCACACTGCGCACACATGGCGTGGAACTGTGCTCTGAACGCCGGGTTGCTGCGTATGTCACTCTGGGCAAAGGGGAGGACGGGAGCAGCGCGGAGCATGGTGTGAGGGCAGGGCAGAGCATGGCATGGCATGGCATGGCATGGGCATGGCGTGGCATGGCATGGCATGGCATGGCATGGCAGGGCAGGGCAGGGCAGGGCAGGGCAGGGCAGGGCAGGGCAGGGCAGGGCAGGGCAGGGCAGGGCAGGGCAGGGCAGGGCAGGGCAGGGCAGGGCAGGGCAGGGCAGGGCAGGGCAGGGCAGGGCAGGGCAGGCACCAGACTCACCTTGTGCTTCTGAGCAAACTCCATGAGGAAGCCTCGAAACGTTTCCAGCTGCTGCCGCAGCGACTCCTGGCGCTGCTTGGCCACATCCTCCCCCAGCGACCGGTACTGCCCCCTCACTGCTGCTGCTGTCTGCAGCCCTGCCACTCCCGGCCGCCGCCTCATGCCGCCCACACGCCTCCCGTCACCCACGCCTCTCTCTCGTGCCGCCCACACTCGTGCCGCCCGCTCTCTAGCCGCCCGCTCTCGTGCCGTCCACACTCCTCTCGTGCTGCCCACACGCCTCTCCTGCCGCCCACGTGCTCTCACCACTCGACACCTAACCTCTTCGGCACACCTGCCTTCGCAACTGCCTGCTTTCACGCCTGATTTCCCGCCTGCTTTCACGCCTGCTTTCACGCCTGCTTTCACGCCTGCTTTCTCGCCTGCTTTCCCGCCTGCTTTCCCGCCTGCTTTCAGGCCTGCATGATCAGCTCCGATGACACGCACCCGCGAGTGCCAAAGTGTGCTCCGTGCGTGGGGCTACAAGGCAGTGACTGTCCGTAACACAGGTTGACGGGCAGAAATCGAAGGTGGGTCGCAGCAAGCAGCAGCGAGACGAGAGCGCGCTGCGATGCGAGGAGAGCGCGCTGCGATGTAGGCAAAGGGAGTTATGTGGCAGAGCGAGGGGCGGGGAAGCGAGGACGGCGGGAGGGCGATGGGGAGGGGGAGCGAGGGAGACGGGGAACGCGATGGGGGGAAGCGCCGAGGGCGATGGCAGAGGGAAGCGATGTCGACAGAAGTCCTCTAGTTTCCTTTAAGTGTGCCATTCATACTCGTCACACGTCAGGTCAATTTCGTTATGAGTGCTCGGATTTCACAAATGAACCTAAATGCACTCAATGTCCTCCTACACTTAGTCCTGCTAATATTTAGAACGAGGTTTATCTACTTAGAGAGGCTTAAAATCGGTTTTCTCTGTAATGCGGAACGTGTATAGGCCTCTCTTACATCTAGAAGGTGAAGAGACCATCAGATTTTTGCATTGATAGAAAAAAAACTTAATGTTATTGCTAGTCTTAACAAGCTTTATTGCCCTTGTATGTTACCATTTGCCACTTGCATATTTTCCCATATTATTGCTTAAAAAATTGCAGTGAACATTTTGAACTAGTTGCTATCAATCGTTATGTACATTAATGATGATGATATGATCTTATCCAATGGAAAGCAGGCTGTTGTCAGAAACGCCTGTCGTTTGTGCTGCGACGGACTCGTCGTGCTCCTAATGTCTGATGCTTCGCCCCACCCCCATGGCTTATGTGCGACAGCTCTGTGAATTCGTGTCCGTCTGCGTTTGGGTGCAGGCCCTGTCGGCGACCACCATGCAAAAAAGCATAGTCGTCAACTTTCGCACACCCCTTTCGCATTTCGCAATTTCCCTTCCTGAGGGTTTCGTGGATCTCTGAAGGCGCGGCTCGTGATGTCCCGCCTCTATCCTCTCACCCACAAAATGCGCGATCCGTTGAAACTGAAGCGGAATCAAAGAACTGTCGGCTGCGTTTTGCATAATGGCTGCACATCACTAGACTCAAAATGGCCTCCTGCTCTTGTGCTGATGACTCAACTCGACTGTTCTTTTCTGTGCAGTGCGTAGTCCACCAAAATAGCGACGGAAAGTAAATTTGTCGAAATCATCCAGTACCTGGGTCATTCGTTTTCGTTCCTCATCCGCTTCTTTCTTGATTCGCAATGGACCGTCGCATAGGTGCGTTTTCCTACCCCTCGTCTCCCGTTGCCTGGCTTAAGTGATCCTACAAACAACATCGAGCCCCGATAGTTCCGTCCTTGACGCACGATACCATTCCAATCCCCTCTCCTGCTTTCCCCCCCACTCTCCCCCCCTCCCCCCCCCTCCCCATTTCCCTTATACCTTTTCACGACTCTCGACGCCGCAGGCTCGCTTGCCGTTCTATTACTCCTGTCAGCTACAGTCCCTCTGTCGCAATCGTGGCTCGTGCGGTGCCCTGCGATCTTCAGCAACCCCGTTGTCAGTAAGTACTGCGGCAGTCTTACTCCGCCATGCTTCCCAGATATGGTCCGTCCACAAGGCCCTTCAAGTCCAAACCGCACAACAACCACAGTCCTCGTATCGATGTCCGCTTTGACATGTGTTGCTACGATGTATGTCTTTGCGTTTCGTCTTTGTATATTGTTTGTTTGCTTTGTTCTTATTCGCGCCCGTTCTTTTATTGTATGCCTGTCCTAACTGCTGGCCGTTGACTCTACTGGATTGCGCAGGCGTTATCCAGGCAACGATGCGAGGCGACAAGAAGAAGGCTGATACAACGCAAATGGCGGACGGTACATTGAAGATTACAGTATTTTCGTAAGAGCCTCTTCTATACTACACGTTGCACTTTCGAACCTCTTTCATTTCCCTGTGATACTCCGCGTTCCATCTGATGTTTCCCTACCTCTCTTGTTACACCTCGGGTAGAAACGAAATCAGACCTGCGGGAAACAAACAAGCGGTATGGCACGCCGCACCTTATGCTGAGACCCCTTCCTCCCTCTCCCTCTACCCCCTTCAGGAGCACCAAGGGCACGGACGTCAAATTCGAGCTCACCTCCAACGACCTCTACTTTCCGCTCTTCAAATCTCTCAACTACGGACCCGCGGGAGCAACCGGCGATGCTATTCTGACCATTCCCGGCACGCCCACGATCGCACTTCGCGCCGATGGCATCACGTACAAGTCGGTAGGGTGGATCAAGCAGGCGGATTCCGCCAAGGCGAGCAACGGGCAGACGGTTACGAACGTTTTGAAGCAGCTTGATTTAAACCCCGCCAACTATTACGTGCAAGTGTCGGCGTTTAAGTTCCTGGGCAGCATTCGCGGGCAGCTGCAACGAGGAATGTTCGTTCCGTGCATGTCGGTATGACCAATGCCGCATGACATGAGATCTGTACAGAAGGGGGTCTGCTGGTTGTGGTGGATGGAAGGACGCTGGCGACATATTCTTTATAAGAGAGACGGCGCGAAGCTGAGAAGCGAGCTGCCTCCAACGCATACAAATAACTGATTGGGGCTATATTTATTAGGGCACGTATCTTTTACATGCGGGCAACCAGCGCATGGGCAATTTTTGTAACTGATGCTGCTATACAATATACATGTATGATCGCTACTTGTTGAATGACGCCACCGCAAGGGAAGCTCTCATCGTCCCGTCATGCAATGTTAGGATCTCTTAGTCCCAGCCATGTCGTCGACCCTTCTAGATCTTACCTCAAGAAGGATCCTTCAGGGCCATAGCAGGCTCTGCCATTTCCACCTGCGTTCACAGTCACGTTATCGAAACGAGGAAATTGATGCACAACTAGACCATAGTATATTAGTGAGATGCAAGGTGGTGATGCTGGAAGTTTCACCAACTCTGGATCATAGAGACAATTTGAATATAAATATACCGTAGGTGTATACTGGTGTTTAAACCGATCCACAACTGTAGTGGAGTAGTGACCTCTGTGGTTCAGGCAATGGGCGAGTGGGCTTCCTTTACCAGCCGTCGTGTGGACCTGTTGGGAAGCTCGTTTCATTTGTGAGTGCGTTTGGTGATCCCCGTTTCCTTCTCTTGGGTGGGGTTTGGTCACCCGCACATCTCTCGCCACTCGCGTTCCACCAAAGCACGGCACCTTCAGCAACCCCGAATCGCATCGTACACCGACCGACCGACCGAAGCATAGCATGGCTGGGCGACAGCTCACCAACAGCTTACTTGACTGAGTCAGCGCAACGAAAACAAGAGACGGGTTGTTTGCAAGGTGAGAGTTGACGCGGGTCAAAACGCACACCGCGGCGAGCCAATAGCGTTGTAATTAGCTCACCTATTTCCCACCTAGAAGAAGCTTCCTGGCTGACTGATTACTGTACAGTAAGCTGGGTTGGGTGCGCGAATGCCACACATGGGCTCCACTAATTTCAAGGCCCGAAATCGGGCGCTCGCGGGTAGCTACCCTTATTATGTCTGGGACCAAGGGTTGTACAGAGTGAAACATATTTTGGACTCCTTGTGAGGGCGAGGACGCACGAAGGTCGCAACTAGAAAAATTTCCCGTCAGAGAGGGCTGTAAGCCTGATCCACTGAGGGACACATTGTTTTAAACAAACGTTGAGGAGAGCGTCCTCAACATCGTTTTGATTCTGGGTGTCTGAAAGATACGGCCGAATCTGGTCTAGGGTGTATCTGAAAACATTTTCCAGGGCTTGAAATTAGTGGAGCCCAGGTGCATCTTGAAATTGTCAACCGTGAGCTGTCATCCTCGCTTCGGTGATCGTCGATTGGTTGAAGCGGAACGTGCAACAGCAGTTGGCTCCATTGGCTTCGACATCCCACCGACAAGAAGCATCATCTTCCCCTCATCCTTCCCCCCCGCCTAGCCTCCCCTCCCCCACCTCGCTCCCCGAGGTCACGATTTCGCAGGAAAACCTTAATTTCAGCATCTGGCGGAACGCAAGCCGTCGAGTTGACCAAGGGCGAGGGAGGGATCAAGGCAAAGACACCAGAGAGACGGGAAACGCGTTTCAGCAGCTGCGCCACGCCAGGGTTTCCCCTCTTTCCCTTACACGCCCGCCTCTCCCCCACAACGTTCCCCCTGGCCACCGACGTTTCTCTCCCCAGTCGTCGGTTTTTGAACCAGATTTGCCTGAACGACTGCGCCTGGTGTTTCCCCGGCTGCTTCCCGAGGCGCTGATTCATTTGCGCGAGAGCGCAGGGCCTCGCCTGGAAGGGGTACTGTACCCGCGCTGCGCTATTTTCAAACACACCCAGCCGCTACACTCCAAAATGTGCAATCAGGCTTGGCTGGGGGGCTGTTCCCCCCACCACCACTCCACCCACCCACCCAACCACTCTTACCCCATCGTCCCCCCCCCACCGAACAGCAACACCGTTACTACGAATAAACAGATGCAATGCTTCCGTTTCTCATCACTCCACCCAACCCGATAATCAATAGGCTGAACAGCCCATAGCTTGCGGCACAGAGAAAGCTCTTTCAACGCTATAACAATCTGCATCCGTTTTCAGATCAGATACCTCCATTGCTCGAACTCTTACTCCGCGACTTCTCTCGCGCGACCATCCACCAGGGTCACCACAATCACCCCGTTCGTCACTCTCAACTCTCCACGTACAAAGACGCGCATACCTCCGCGACACGCCCACCACGTCAACGACCTCCCCTCCAACACACGCACGCACACTCACTCAAATAATCGTCAGTCGCCGAATTAGTCGCCAAGTCGCCCAAGGCGACGAGACGCAGCCATGGATCGCGACAACCTCGAAGTGCTCCCCGCGAGCGAGCTTTCCGCGCGGTACGAGCTGATCGACATGCTGGGCGAGGGGCAGTACGGCACGGTGTGGCGCTGCGAGGAGCGCGACACGGGCCGCCTTTTCGCGTGCAAACACATTAGCCTCGCGGGTCTCGGCGAAAAGGGGATTAAAGCCGCCGTTCGCGAAATCGAAGTCATGGCGACGCTCTCGGGTAACCGCAACGTGGTTTCGCTGCAAGGGATCTACGAGGACGCGGAGGGCGTTTATGTTATTATGGAGTATTGCGATGGCGGGGATTTGTTGAACCTGATTCAGAAGAAAGGTCTCTTGCCTGAAATGGAAGCCCAGAGGCTGTTTCTCGAAGTGACACGTGGCGTGAAGCAGTGCCACGACAACGGCGTCATCCATCGCGACATCAAGCCCGAAAATATCCTTCTCGTCCCCGGAACAACCGCCGCATCCGCCGCCGATACACGCGCTGCGAGTCCCACCCCCGCGCCCAAGAACCCCTTCACCTCGCTCCAGCTCAACCCGCTCCGCGCGCGTTCGCGCTCCGTATCCCCCCCGCTTCTCCCTCCGCCAACTCCGCTTCCGCCTCCATGCCCTCCGCGAAGCTCGCGGACTTCGGTCTCTCCCTCACGCTGCGACCGGGGCAGCGCGTGGTGGGGTACGCGGGAAGCTTCCCGTACGAGGCGCCCGAGGTGCTGGCGAATAAAGCGTACGACCAATCAGCGGACATCTTCAGCCTCGGCGTGACGCTCTACGCGATGCTGTCCGGCACGTGGCCCGCGTTCCACCGCTCGCGATGCCTCGACGACGCGGTCGACTGGGAGTTACCATGCTGGCGAAAGGTTTCGGACGTGGCGAAGGATTTAATTCGCTGGATGGTGTCGCCGCTCCCGCACATGCGCCCGTCCGCGGACGAGGTGCTGGCGCACCCCTGGTTCGCGCCCCTCCTCGGCTTCCCCGCGCAACCCGCGAGCCCCCGCAGCGTCGTCCGCACCTTCCGCACCTGGCGGCGCGAGCGGTCGCTGAGGCAGGAAGAGGAGAGGCAGGCGGTACAAAAGGAGGCTTCGCAGAAGGTTCGTCCGGTAGAAGAAGTTGCGCGCGGCGCGCATGACGCTGGCGCTTGTCGCGGCGACCACCGTGGCAACGCTTCCAAGGCCGGACGCGTGGACATTATTGCTTATCAGCGGCCCGTGCTGTCCGTGCGATAAGAAGCCTACTGTGCTACAGTGTTACCCTCGCGATGACAAAGGTCTGGCGACAGGTTTTCTCTGCTAACGATCGTTGGCGAGGCGAGGCGAGGACTCTACGAGACAGTTTAGGGCGAGCTTGAGTCGCCTCAGGCGTCGGAAAGGGGGAGAATTTTACCCGACTCTGAGGCGCATCAAGCTCGCTGCTTCTCTCACCCACATCTTCTCCAATCCATCTTGCAAGCTTTTATCTAGGCGGAAATCTGACTGGCATGTGATAGAATCTCTAGCCTATCGAGTCACCCTGTAAGCAGTGCATTAGTAGTGACTTTCATTAATTTTGAGAAATCCCAGATCATCACGAGCACTACTACTGCCCTTTTGCCACAAGAACAAGACACTTAATCACTCTAAATACATACATTTATTTACATCAGATAGCAAAGCTACGGTATGCCGAAAGGCAAGGACTACCAGCTCCATAGCAGCAAATAGCCGGGTTCTTCTTGTACTGAGCGAGAACAATTTTCATGGCTGGAGGAATCAGTTTGTATAGCAAGCTGCATACAGTGGCGGGCCAATGGGCAGATGTGGTTTATGGGAGCAGTTGCAGGTGCATCGGCGGTTACACCAGTGCTCGGGCAGTTAGGGCAGGTGTGCGGCAGCTGAACAGGCGCAAGGGCAGTTACGGCAGGCGCACGGGCAATTAGGTAGATGCATGGGCAGTTAGGGCAGGCGCATGGGCAGTTTGCCGACAGCAGCAGAGATCTGATCCTCTGTGAGCGATGAGAACTCCTCATACAGGTCCAAGAGCGCTGTTGACACTGCCCTCACCTGCTTAGAGGGTGATGGGGGGGGGGGGGGGGGGGAGGGGGGACGGGAGGGGTTGACAAGGGAAAGGGGGCGATGACAAGTCTTTCCCCTTTCCCTACAAGTCGCTGTTGGTTGTCAAGTCTTCATCCAAGTCCAACAGCCATGACCACTCTGCCGTGACCTGTTTTGAGACGGCTCAAAAGTTGACCACATTGGCGTGACCTGATTCGGGATGATGCGGGGAGGGGGTAACGGGTGAGCGGGGGACGAGGGGGGGGGCGATGCGAACCCCGAGAGCGCTGTCGCTGCTCTGCTCTCACCTGCACAGGGAGCGGGTCGCAAGGGATGGGGTGGAGGGGTGGTGATATGCTGAGGTGCCAAGAGCGACAGCGCGACTGCCCTGACCCGAAAGGGGTTGATGAGGTGGGTGAATAATACCACTGCACACGGTGCATATCAACGCGCCGCCCCTCAAACCAAGGCAGGGGGGGGCAGGTGGCGCATGAGAGCCAACCAATGACCACGGCACCCACGCATGACCATGAACTTAAAGCCCCTAAGCACAGTACCCAGTGCATATCAACGCGCAGCCCCTCCAGCGAGAGCAGGAGGGGCAGGTGGCGCATGTGGGCCCTGCAATGCAATGCAATGCACCATGCATGATCATAAGCCCAAGCCCCTGACCCCATAACCCTTGAACAACACCCTACCCAGTGCATGTTGACGCACAGCCCTTCGAGCCAGGGCAGGAGGGGCAGGTGGCGCATGAGAGCCCCCCCAGTGACTTCACTCCACAGGTAATATACCAATCGCGCCGACGCATAATAAAAAGCCTTCAGAGACTTTTGAGTCGACTCAAAAGTCAGCCCCCCAGTGACTCCATTCCACAGGTAATATACCGATCGCGCAGACGCATGATAAAAAGCCTTCGGGCACTAAACCCCCCAGGCACCATACCCGGTGCACGTCGACGCGCAGCCCCTCGAGCCAGGGCAGCAGCGGCTGGTGGCGCATGAGAGCAACGAGGTGAATGCATGCAAGGGCGATGATGAAGGGCGGGTGGCACAGCGATAGGTCCGTCTTGAATGAGTCATTCACCATTGACCTGCGCGCAGGGGTGGAGTGGGGAGGGGAGGGGCGTGGGATGGGGAGGTGGAGGGGAAGGTGGAGTGGGGGGACGGGGGAGGGAGAGGAGGGTTTGAGAGGTGTGCTGATGGGAATGCGGGTCGGAAGCAAAAAGGCGTGAGAGCATGATGGGCATAGCAAGAGCGTGATGGGCATAGCAAGAGCAGGGAGACAAGCCGGTGGTGAGGCACATGCATGGACACAGCCACTCACAGCCACACACACACGGCTGTGGCACCCACCAGGCCATTTGAGCAGAGTTCTCCTTCACATTAGCAGAGAGGTTGAGGGCTCTGCTCATGCTAAAGCACATCACACACAGACACTCCCGCATTCCCACATGCACACGCACTCGCACCCACACACACACGGCTGTGGCACCCACCAGGCCATTTGAGCAAAATCCTCCTTCACATTGGCAGAGAGGTTGAGGGCTCTGCTGACGTCTTCCAAGTACCTGCTGCGAACAACAACACCCGTGCCCCATTTCATCCACAAGGGCGCAGCGGATTAGGGGCGACACGTGGACGCGATGAGGCGGGAAAGGGTGGGGCGCCAGCAGACGGAAGGCAGAGAGAGAAGGCAGAGAGAGAAGGCAGAGAGAGAAGGCAGAGAGAGAAGGCAGAGAGAGAAGGCAGAGAGAGAAGGCAGAGAGAGAAGGCAGAGAGAGAAGGCAGAGAGAGAAGAGAGAGAGAGAGAAGAGAGAGAAGAGAGAGAGAAGAGAGAGAGAACAGAGAGAACAGAGAGAGAACAGAGAGAGAACAGGAGACATGAGAGACTGCGAGGGCAGCAGAGAGAGAACAGGAGACATGAGAGACTGCGAGGGCAGCAGAGAGAGAACAGGAGACATGAGAGACTGCGAGGGCAGCAGAGAGAGAACAGGAGACATGAGAGACTGCGAGGGCAGCAGAGAGAGAACAGGAGACATGAGAGACTGCGAGGGCAGCAGAGAGAGAACAGGAGACATGAGAGACTGCGAGGGCAGCAGAGAGAGAACAGGAGACATGAGAGACTGCGAGGGCAGCAGAGAGAGAACAGGAGACATGAGAGACTGCGAGGGCAGCAGAGAGCAGAGCGTGGGAGCAGATCACGATGTGGAAAGGAGAAAGCAGAGAGAGAAGAGTAGAGTCACTTTGGACAATTGTCAACGGTGCAATACGGTGCAATACGGGTGCCATACGGGTGCAATACGGGTGCCATACGGGTGCCATACGGGTGCAATACGGGTGCCATACGGGTGCCATACGGGTGCAATACGGGTGCCATACGGGTGCCATACGGGTGCCATACGGGTGCCATACGGGTGCCATACGGGTGCCATACGGGTGCCATACGGGTGCCATACGGGTGCCATACGGGTGCCATACGGGTGCCATACGGGTGCCATACGGGTGCCATACGGGTGCCATACGGGTGCCATACGGGTGCCATACGGGTGACATACGGGTGCCATACGGGTGCAGTGCAGGGATACAGACGTGGTGAGGGGGCGGTAGGGGTGGAAGACGATGAGGTTGAAGGAGAGGGCCTGCAGCAGCCGCATCTCCATGGCTAGTACGTCCTTCACCTCGTACCCCATGGCTCCATGCCCGCACATGCCTGCACATACACGCAGACATGCATCCACGCACGCACCACAGACACATGCAACATATTGTTTGACATAAACTGAAGCAGGCGCATCTCCATTGCCAGTACGTCCTTCACCTCGTACCCCATGGCGCCGTGCCCGCACATGCCTGCACACACACGCAGACACGCATCCACGCTCGCACCACAGACACATGCAACATAATGTTTGACATTAACTGAAGCAGGCGCATCTCCATTGCCAGTATGTCCTTCACCTCATAGCCCATGGCTCCATGCCCGCACATGCCTGTTTGGAACATGCGTCACACATGCATCGCACATGCACACACATGCACACACATGCACACACATGCACACACATGCACACACATGCACACATGCACACACACATGCACACACACATGCACACACACATGCACACATGCACACACATGCACACACATGCACACACATGCACACACATGCACACACATGCACACACATGCACACACATGCACACATGCACACACATCCATATACATTTGACATATGTACACGCAGCAGACAAGCACACACACGTGGCAAGTTTTCAACAATCATGCTTAACGAATTCTTGTTGCAAGACGCATGACGTGCACAGCCCAGGCGTGCAGCAATCTTCCACATGCCCTCGCTGTCGTATTCACAGCCCAGGCGTGCAGCAATCTTCCACATGCCCTCGCTGTCGTATTCACAGCCTGCACAGTGCACTCCTCTGCGCTCCTTTGCACTCCCCTATACTCCTCTCCACTCTCCTCTCATCTCACAAGCATGGCTCTTCATGCGGTGAACCAGCTTCACCGCCTGCACCGTGCACTCCTCCGCCTTGGCCGCCACGTACAGCGCTGCCGGCGCTGCCAGGCGCGGATCCACCTCGGCAAACGACTTCCTGGTCGGTGGGCGAGGTGATGGGAGGGGGGTGGAAAGGGGGGTGGTGAGTGAGTGCGCATCAGCGGGGATGGGGTAGGCAATGGATGGTCACCATCCTTTCCAGCGGGGATGGTCACCACCCTTTCTAGCGGGGATGGGGTAGGCAGTGTCTCGAGTACCTGCAGCGCTGCCAGGCGCAGATCCACCTCGGCAACCCACTTCCCGCTCCGTGGGCGAGGAGAGGGGGGGAGTGGAGAGATGGGGTGGGGGAGAAGAGTGGCTGGTCACAGCCTGGCGAAAGACTTGCTTCTTACAGGAGTAAGGAGGAGTGATGGGGTGGTTGGAAGGCGTGATGGGGTAATTGGAAGGCGGTATGGGTTGGAAGGCGGTATGGATTGGAAGGCCGTTTGGGTTGGAAGGGGGGAGTGGCAGGTCAAGACCCGAGTACTGCTGCTTGGCGCATCGTCCCCTTGAGAGAATTCTCAAGTTTACCACAAACATCCCATCCCCGCACCACCCCATCCCCGCACCACCCCATCCCCGCACCACCCCATCCCCGCACCACCCCATCCCCGCATCACCCCATCCCCGCACCACCCCATCCCCGCACCACCCCATCCCCGCACCACCCCATCATCCCATCACTCATCACGCTCTGTGCACGGATCGCTACCCACTTGATCGCTACCCACTTGATCGCTACCCACTTGATCGCTACCCATTTGATCGCTACCCACTAGATCGCTACCCACTTCCCTATTGCCTCATCACCCCATCAGTCATCGCGCCCTGCACACGGCACATGGCTCACTTGACATAGACGCGGCGGAAGTAGGCGATGGCCGTCGCCACAACCCTGCCACGCAACAAGAGAAGGCAGGGCGTGAGGTGGGCAGGGCGTGAGGTGGGCAGGGCGTGAAGTGGGCAGGGCGTGAGGTGGGCAGGGCGTGAATTGGGCAGGGCGTGAAGTGGGCAGGGCGTGAAGTGGGCAGGGCGTGAGGTGGGCAGGGCGTGAATTGGGCAGGGCGTGAATTGGGCAGGGCGTGAATTGGGCAGGGCGTGAAGTGGGCAGGGCGTGAGGTGGGCAGGGCGTGAATTGGGCAGGGCGTGAAGTGGGCAGGGCGTGAAGTGGGCAGGGCGTGAAGTGGGCAGGGCGTGAGGTGGGCAGGGCGTGAATTGGGCAGGGCGTGAATTGGGCAGGGCGTGAATTGGGCAGGGCGTGAATTGGGCAGGGCGTGAATTTGGCAGGGCGTGAATTGGGCAGGGCGTGAATTGGGCAGGGAGTGAGGTGGGCAGGGCGATTGAGGGAGGGCGAGAGGTGTGAGGGCGGGCGATGGGCGATGGTAAAAGAGATGTTTTGCGATGTCTCAAAACATCTCTTTTATCTTGAGGGAGGGCGAGAGGTGTGAGGGCGGGCGATGGGCGATGGTAAAAGAGATGTTTTGCGATGTCTCAAAACATCTCTTTTATCTTGAGGGAGGGCGAGGGGTGTGAGGGTGAGCGATGGGCGATGGTGACACCATGAGACAGTGGCACACAGTCACCCACTCCCCAAAGGACTGGCTCAAAGGCATAGTGAACGCAGCAACGATGCAGGGAAAATGTGAGCGATACGGCGCAAGGTGGTGCGAGGCGGTCCAAGGTGGTGGTGAGAGGCGGTGTGCTTGCCTTTGGCGGAGGTTGAGGCGGTGAGCCAAGACTGCCAGGTCTGTCAATGTCAATGAGAGAGGCATGGACAAACCGGGAAAGGAGACAGGGGGGAAGGGAAGGGAGAGGAAGGAACGAAGGAATGAATGAACAACGGCTGGAGTGAGATGAGATGGACGCAAACATCAGAAACTCATGATTGCTCGAAAGCATGCAGGCATGTGCATGGGATGGGAGATTACAGTCGGACGTACGGTCACACATGTGCATGGGAGGGAGGTTATAGACGTACGTACGGTCACACATGTGCGGCTTGACCAGGGGCACGTGCGAGGGCGACAGGCCCATGCAGCACAGAGGAATAAGTGCGATAAGAGGAATAAGGGCCAATAAGGGCAGAAAGAGGAATAAGAGCAGAAAGAGGAATAAAGGGCAATCAGGGCAGTAAGAGATGGCCATCGTACGGTCACACATGTGCAGCTTGACCAGGCGCACGTCAGAGGGCGACAGCCCCATGCGGTCGTCCTCCGCATGCAGCAGGCGCGCCACTGCGCCCGGCTCCAGTAGCTGCTTGCTGGGGGGGGAATGGCGGAGGGGAATTGGTAGGGGGACGGCGGGTGGCAGGGAGGAGGGGGGAGCGAATGAACAGCCGCGCGCCACTGCGCATGGGTCTAGTAGCTGCTTGCTGCGGGGTGGGGAAAGGGGGAAGAGGAAAGGGAAGCGGAAGGGGAAGGGGAAGGGGAATGGGAAGGGGTGAGGGGAAGGGGAAGGGGTGAGGGGGAGGGTGAGAATCGGATGAGGGGATAAGCGCGGAGGAAGGGACCCGAGAAGGAGCAGGAGAGGCAGCAGCGCTGGGTGCAGCAGGTGCTTGCAATCGATGGTGGGTTGGGGAGGCGGCACGAGGAAGGGGGGATGGGGGAGAGAGAGGGAACGGAGGCAGGAGCGGAGATGACTAGCAGCAGGCGAGGCATGAAGCGGCATGAGTGCGATGCTTTGGGAGTAACAGCTGCTGACATGGCAGCAACGGAGAGAGCTGGGCGAACAACAGTGTCGCACTGCGCCGGCGACGTCGTGTCGCGCATGTCATGCGACGGCGTCGCACGGACGTCGCACCTGTGGGAGGACTGCCAGAATTTGGCCGCCATAAGGACCACTGGCGACTGCTAGCGAACTGTTGACGAGTGTTGGCGACTGTGGCGATTGTTGGCGACTGTGGCGAATCACAGCGGCAGATTCTACTCGGCGGGTTTCCGTGGGGTTCTGCTCGAACAGCTAAACGGCTTCACCATACTAACCACGAACCCGACAGCGCATTGACTAGCGATTCAAAGTCTCCATAGCCTTATGCTGTTGACATCCGAAGACGGAAAATTGCTCCACTATTTCCGCCGCCGCTGCTGCGTCTCGATCGATTGCAGCTGCTTCACTCACTCTGCACTGCACGCTACAGCCTCTTGAGTCCGCGAAGTTTATGGTAACGTGTACTTCGCTTTCGCCAACGCGACCAGCCGTTTCGCAGCAATCGACATAAGCCTAGAAATTTCGCTAAAAATTGAACCCTTTTCCGGGGGGGGATTTGACGGGTTCGAATCCCAAATCGAATCTATCTGGTAACAGAACCCTAACCACGAAACCACTGAGCGATACAAGAGAGTAGCTTCAGAGGGTGTCTCAAATCCCTCGGTCCACCCTGGCTCTATGTAGTCGATGGGGACCAGTCCACCAAACCGCCTCGGACCCAAGGGTGGACCCGCTCCCTGAGTGAATGTGGACCGTGGGTGTAGCAAACCAGTACCCTCGTTTTAGCGGGCGGGGGGACTATAATGGGGAGGATCCCCTGGTTCGCCGAGCCGGTCCACGTCGGACCCCTGAACAGTCGTAGTATTGGCGAACACTCACGAACTCAACTCGCTCCGTCGCAAAACGCGCGCGCGCCGCCCTTTCAATGCCAGTCAACGGGTGACACCCACGAGCGCCCGGTACAGTAGCGCAAATGTACTGTACTGTCTTGCGTCATGGAAACCCAGTTTTTTTTGGAAAATGTACAGTTACGCTCGCCAGCACGCTACTGTAGATTGTATCTGCGGACCCAACAAGCCCTATGTTATCAGGATAAATTATCATGAATTCCCTGAATTCAGTATAGGTCTAGTGTGTGTGTCCTGGAAAAACAGCATAAGTGAATTACTTGTCATGGAAATTCAGTATAGTGGTTGTTTGGCGTACTGAGGTTTCAGTATAACGGTGTAAGTTCAGCCCTGAAGACTCAGGATAGTCTCGAATCTCGCCCTGAAGCCCAACAACAATTAGTTCGAAGCTGGTTCACACGATTGGTCCACACTGGTCTGGAGGCATAATTTCAGTGGCAGACCAGTCCGGGGCGGACTTAGGGAAGGTTCTTGGCCGGTGTCAAGTTCCCTGACACAAGGCTACTGACGGCTGCGATCGCTCCACAATATCCTCAATCGAATCGAGACCCTTCACAGCTTCGTGTCAGCCTGCCTGACACCGGCCAGGAACGTTCCCTTACGGACCTGTCGAAGTGAGACACGTCCTCGTCCTTTTTGAACCCAAAGGCGGCGTCAGGCTGTACATTTCTCGCACAAGTTCAATTCTTGTATCGTGGCCTTCAACGTTTCCACACGGTGACAAGCGTTTCTCAAAGGTTGATTGTTTTGTACCGTGTCGAAACGAAGTTGAGCGTGGAGAAGCTGTACAACCTGAGTCCGCCCTAAGTCTGCCTGCTGCATTTAAACACCAAGCTTCTCACCATTTCCGCACCTCACTCGCTGCCAAGCTATCCTGATCACGACTCTTATATTGGAGATTTTATCTCCATAGCCCAAGCACTGGCAGGACTCACGACGTTACATCTCCATCTTTCTAAAGCTTCTCAGAAGCTTCTCTAAAGCACTATTCCAAGCAACCTTCCGGGGTCCAATACGCTTTGAACAGGTCCGCTCCCCGCGCCCGTATCCTCTTCCGCCGCTTGCAACCTTCCCGCCTCCCCTCTCCGCGCAAGCTTTTTCTGTCGTTAGATCCTCCCGCCACCCTTTTTCACCGCCCGGGACTTCTCCCGCGCGTTCCCCCTTTGCGCGCATAGCGGAACGATGCCGGGGGAGGAGGTCGACGCGGCCGCGGCGGAGCCGATGGAAACGAGCAGCGCAGGCGCGGGGAGCCGCGGGCAGGAGGCGCGGAAGGGTAAGAAGAAGAAGAAGGCGCAGCAGCAGGGGGAAGGGGGGAGCGGAAGCCTTCCGCCGCACCTGGAGGAGCTCCGCTCGCGCGTGATCTGCGATATGGACGCGCCGAAACAGGTGCGCGGCGGAGGGGGGATGGGCGAGGTCGAGGGGGGAAGAGCCGCGCGGAAGGCGCAGTGGTTGCGCGGAAGAGGAAGAGAAGCGCGCGTGAGGCAGACAGTTGGGGAGGGCAGTGACGAGAAACGGGGAAAAGGCGGTGCGGGAGATTGAGAAGGTTCGGGGAAGGTTCATATGTTCTTAAGATTCTTTGGCAAGGTGGAGGGTCTCCGAGCATATTGAGAGAATCCAGGGTTTCTGCCCTGGGCAAGGGTTTCGGGTTTATGGCTGCCAGTCAGGGTTTAGGGTCTTGGCACTGCAGCGCGGCGGGCAGGCGAGATAGCGCAGAGGCGAGCATTGCTTGCGCGCAACCTTGCAGCAGCAGCAGCAGCCAGCAGTTGAGCAGTGCTTGGTGGTGGGTGTGAGGCGTGCGCATCGCTGCAATCCAGTGTGGGGTTTGCAGGTCCGCTCTGCACTTGCAGGAGCTATACGCGGGAGTGGAGTGCGGTGAGGGGAGTATTCCTTCATTCACCCGCTTTTGGCGCTTGCAGCAGCACAGTGCACTTCAACCGGACTGCTCGCCGTTCCGCTTCCCCTTTCTGCCCCCCCCCCCCTCTTCCGCTTCCCCCCATCTTTCTCCCCTTCCTCCCCCCCCCTTCCCCCTGTCAACCTCCTCTTTCGCCCCCACGCCCCTTCTCTCCTTCCGCGTTGATTGGGGCAACAGCACGACGGAGGCTGCAGCGGTTCCAATGGGTACAGCAGCATCACCATCTTCCTTTGCCTTCTCCCGCCCCCCAATGCAGACGCACGCGCTGCAGTATTCAGGCGCGTTCGCGGCGTTGGGCGTGGACAACAGCATGACCCTGGAGCGCTTTAGACGGCACAGCACCACCTTCCTTCCTCCTTCCCCCCGTTCCCCTTTTCCCCCTTCCCCCTTTCCTCCCCCATCTTCCCCCTGCCAACCAATGCAGACCCACGCGCTGCAGTATTCAGGGGCATTTGCCGCGCTGGGCGTGGACAACAGCATGACCCTGGAGCGCTTCAGACGGGAACTGACGGTGGAGATCGTGTCGCAGTCAGCGGACGGCCACGATCTCGTCTTTGACCTCGTTGGCATCGACGCTGCTCTCGCCAACGCCTTCCGCCGGATACTCATCGCTGAGGTCAGCACTGCTCATTGCTGAGGTCAGCATGCTGATTTCTTGAGGTCGGCTTATGGAGGTCGCTGCTACTACAGAATGGCACCTTACCTCTTGTTCACACTTGCACATCTGAGAAGGTGATAGAGAAGGTATTCATGGCCAAACAACACCTTCCTCGTGCAGGACAAGGTTAGGTGCTCATGTGTGTTGCTCCTCCCAACTCAACCCCTCCCTTCCCTCCTCCCTGTCCGTTGCCACAGGTACCCACAATGGCGATAGAGAAGGTATTCATGGCAAACAACACGTCTCTAGTGCAGGACGAGGTGCTCTCGCACCGCCTCGGCCTCGTGCCTATCGCTGTCGACCCGCGCCTCTTTGACTTCCCTTCAGGTGACTCCCAGGTGGAATTTCAGTTGATCCTTGGGTGCTGTGAAGTTTGTCTGCTTCGCTGCCATATAAATGCATCTTAGTCAAGCCTCTGAAGTCTCTCTCTTGGCCATGCTGCTTGCAACTGTGCTTCTTGCACCATGCGTTTTGCTCCATGTACTTCGTCCGCCCTGCAGCATGTTTCTGCCCACCTCTTTGTTATCTCCTCTCCATGTTCCTATCCCACCCTGCTGCTTGCCACCTCTTCTTTCATCACATCACACCGTCTTATCACATCACACCACATGGTGCCATGGCATGCGGTGGCAGAGGATGGTATGGCGAGTGAGAGCAACACCATCGTATTCAAGCTCGACTACAAGTGCACGCGCAACCCGCCTGCTGATGGCTCCAGACACGGTACGTGTTGCTCCGCCTCCGCCCTACCTGCACGGTATGCCATGCTCTGCCCTGCACGGTATGCCATGCTCTGCCCTGCACTTTATGCCATGCTCTGCCCTGCACGGTATGCCATGCTCTGCCCTGCACGGTATGCCATGCTCTGCCCTGCATGGTATGCCATGCTCTGCCCTGCATGGTATGCAATGCTCTGCCCTGCATGGTATGCATGATATGATATGATATGATATGATATGATATGATATGATATGATATGATATGATATGATATGATATGATATGTTTTGTCATGCTATGATATGTTTTGTCATGCTATGATATGTTTTGTCATGCTATGATATGTTTTGTCATGCTATGATATGTTTTGTCATGCTATGATATGATATGTGCCCGCCTGCGCTGCTTGCCACCTCAGGGTTTAGCGTGAGCATCCCGTCCTTTGCACCGTCCTGCACTGGCAAATGAGAACCTGTGTCGGAACTGGTGCACTCGAGGCATTTGGTGTGGCAGGCCACTACCAGTGCCTGGCCTGAACATTCTCTCTTTCTCCTTGGACAACTCACTCCTTTTTTTTAACCCCCCCACACATGCACATGCATGTGCACATGCGCATGCACATGCAGGCTCGGTGCAGTCGAAGCACCTGGTGTGGCAACCCAACGGCAGCACGTACCCACCCGATCCCCTTCCATGGCTTTTCCCCATCCCACCCATCCTCTTTTGCACATGCCACCCCCTCCCAACCTGACACATGCAGGCTCGGTGCAGTCGAAGCACCTGGTGTGGCAACCCAATGGCAGCACGTACCCTCCCGACCGCCCCACCAAGTTCACGTCCTTCGGTCGCCCGCAGAGCGAATTGCATGACTTCGCCACCCGCCCCCCCGCGCCCACCTACCCTGACATCACGCTTGCTAGACTGCGACCAGGGCAGGTGTGTGCAGTGCACTGCGGTGCGGTGCGGTGGGGTGTAGTGTAATGTATTCAGAATGGGTGACACCCCCCCCCCCGCCCCCACCTACCCCGACATCACCCTCGCCAGGCTGCGACCCGGCCAAGAGTGTGTGTGTGTGTGTGTTGCGACAGGTGTGTGTGATTCTGATTGATAGAACAGGTCGGTGAGCATTTGTCGAGCCATCTGCCATCTCTCCACCTGCCAGGGCATGGAGTTTGGAGGAGCATGGGAGGGAGGAGCATGGGAGGGAGGAGCATGGGAGGGAGGAGAATGGGAGGGAGGAGCATGGGAGGGAGGAGCATGGGAGGGAGGAGCATGGGAGTGAGGAGCATGGGAGTGAGGAGCATGGGAGTGAGGAGCATGGGAGTGAGGAGCATGGGAGTGAGGAGCATGGGAGTGAGGAGCATGGGAGTGAGGAGCATGGGAGTGAGGAGCATGGGAGTGAGGAGCATGGGAGTGAGGAGGTGGCACTGCCATGCCGTGCTGGCATTGGGCAGTCAGCGTGGCGAATGAAGCACACCCTTGCTTCCCACGTGCGACGTGGCATTTGAGTCGACTCACAAGGAGATGGCTTTCGGTGGAGATGGCTTTCGGTGCGGCAGATGAAGTGAAGTTAAGCAGTGTTGTTTCTGACATGCATCGTCTGGTGTGTTTGCTTTGCCCTCCCGCCAGGCCATTGAGTTGGAGGCGCATGCGGTGAAGGGCATCGGCCGCACTCACGCCAAGTGGTCGCCTGTTGCCACCGCTTCTTACCGCATGCTGCCAGAGGTGTGCTCCATTCCTGTAGTTTCCTCTGCCATTCGTTAACTCCTCTGCCATTCGTTAACTCCTCCGCCATTTGTGTCCTCTGCCATTTGTTAACTCCTCTGCCATTCGTTAACTCCTCTGCCACTGGTCTCCCACTAGTCATTAATAGCTAATTTTTTAAGTTCTAAAAAATGAGGCGGATAGGTGGGACCAAGGATACCCTTCTGTTGCTCACGCTTATTCCTTTCGCTCTCCCCCTTGTGCCATTCCAGGTGCTGTGCTGTGCTGCAAGGCAGTTGAGGTGCGGAGGCAGGCACGAGAGGCCTTTTGCACACCACTCGCACTCTCACACAGCTGCCCAGCTCCCTCCCCCTCCCCCTCCCCCTCCCCCTCCCCCTCCCCCTCCCCCTCCCCCTCCCTCTTCCCCCTCCCCCTCCCCCATCCCAAGTGATGTTCCGCAAGGCAGTGGAGGGGGAGATTGCGGGAAAGATCCCTCCTTGCACTCTCAAACTGTCCCCCCCAACTCCTTCTCCTTCCCTGGCCCCGTCCCCTGCCCCTGCCCCTGCCCCTGCCCCTGCCCCTGCCCCTGCCCCTGCCCCTGCCCCTGCCCCTGCCCCTGCCCCTGCCCCTGCCCCTGCCCCTGCCCCTGCCCCTGCCCCTGCCCCTGCCCCTGCCCCTGCCCCTGCCCCTGCCCCTGCCCCTGCCCCTGCCCCTGCCCCTGCCCCTGCCCCTGCCCATGCCCATGCCCCTGCCCCTGCCCCTGCCCCTGCCCCTGCCCCTGCCCCTGCCCCTGCCCCTGCCCCTGCCCCTGCCCCTGCCCCTGCCCCTGCCCCTGCCCCTGCCCCTGCCCCTGCCCCTGCCCCTGCCCCTGCCCCTGCCCCTGCCCCTGCCCCTGCCCCTGCCCCTGCCCCTGCCCCTGCCCCTGCCCCTGCCCCTGCCCCTGCCCCTGCCCCTGCCCCTGCCCCTGCCCCTGCCCCTGCCCCTGCCCCGTCCCCTGCCCATGCCCCTGCCCCTGCCCGTCCTCTTCTCCCTCCCAGGTGGTGTTCCGGAAGGCAGTGGAGGGCGAGATGGCGGAGCAGCTGGTGGCAAAGTGCCCCATGAACGTGTTTGATATCGAGGACATGGGGAACGGTGAGCATGGGAGGGATGGATGCATGATGGGTGATGTGTGGATGATGGGTTAACGAGCAAAGTGCCCATGAACGTGTTTGATATCGAGGACATGGGGAACGGTGAGCATGGGAGGGATGGATGCATGATGGGTGATGTGTGGATGATGGGTTAACGAGCAAAGTGCCCATGAACGTGTTTGATATCGAGGACATGGGGAACGGTGAGCATGGGAGGGATGGATGCATGATGGGTGATGTGTGGATGATGGGTTAACGAGCAAAGTGCCCATGAACGTGTTTGATATCGAGGACATGGGGAACGGTGAGCATGGGGGTTCTGTATATGCCTGATGCGATGCGATGGGGCACTGCATACATGTGCACAGGGGTGCATGACATGAGCACAGTGCTTGATGAACGTTTTTGTTGACATTGAAGACATGGGGGGTGGTGGCATGAATGCATCATGAATCTCCCTCGAAAAAAGCGGATGGTGCATGCAACAGGCGCATTCCAATGGGTGTATCCAAAAAGCACATTTTGTGGTGAACGATATATGTGACAGTCAGCGCAATCCGATCATTATAATTATGCTCCCCCTTGCCCCGCCCTATGAGACGTCTCGATAGTCGATCATTATAATTATGCTCACCCTTGCCCCGCCCTACTAATCACCATGCGTGCAGGCATCCAGAGGGCCACAGCCCCGCGTGCGCGCAACTGCACAGTGTGTCGGGAGTGCATCAGAGAGGAGGGGTGGGGCGACTACATCCAGCTCAGAAGGAAACGGGACCACTTCATTTGTAAGACAACTGTTGCTCTTCCAGGGCGTTGTTTCTGTCAATATTGTCAAATTAATTGCAAATCTTTCTTCTGTGTCATATTCTATCCATTCAACTGACACTGTTTCTTCACAACTCCTGTCCCTGACATGTCGTATTTTCATCCATCGTGCCAACACATGGAGCCATTGAACAAAATAACCTCATGCGATTTTGTGCTGCCGCACACCAAATCCTTCCATTTTGTTCAGCCTTCTCCCCGCCTCCTGTCTCCTGTCTCCTGTCTCCTGTCTCCTGTCTCCTGTCTCCTGTCTCCTGTCTCCTGTCTCCTGTCTCCTGTCTCCTGTCCATGCCTCAGAATGTCTCACCATGTCTCACCATGTCTCACCATGTCTCACCATGTGGCACTCACCATGCCTCACCATGCCTTACCATGCCTTACCATACCTCACCATGCCTTACCATGCCTCACCATGCCTCACCATGCCTCACCATGCCTCACCATGCCTCACCATGCCTCACCATGCCTCACCATGCCTTACCATGCCTCACCATGCCTCACCATGCCTCACCATGCCTCACCATGCCTTACCATGCCTCACCATGCCTCACCATGCCTCACCATGCCTTACCATGCCTCACCATGCCTTACCATGCCTTACCATGTCAACCACCTTCTTATGGTCCGAACTTCCAGTGTGATAACGTAACCATTTCCGTTGCTTCCTCCACCTTTCTCCTCTCCCTCCTGACCCTCGTCTCCTCCTCTCCCTCCCTCCTCTCCCTCCTCTCCTCTCCCTCCTCTCCTCCTCTCCCTCCTCTCCCTCCTCTCCCTCCTCTCCCTCCTCTCCCTCCTCTCCCTCCTCTCCCTCCTCTCCCTCCTCTCCCTCCTCTCCCTCCTCTCCCTCCTCTCCCTCCTCTCCCTCCTCTCCCTCCTCTCCCTCCTCTCCCTCCTCTCCCTCCTCTCTCTCCCACCCCCCCTCCCTCGCACTCCACCCCACAGTCTCAGTGGAGAGCACGGGAGCACTGCCGCCCAACGTGCTCTTCACAGAGGCAGTGAAGCTGCTGGAGAGCAAGGCCAGGCGCCTCGCCACCGAGACCGACCGCCTCTGATCCCACGCTCCTGGATTGCTGCTTGTGCGTCTGGATTGACTGGACTGCTGCTACATTTGAGTCGAGAAGGGATCTGCTGCAGCCACCAGCTAATAGGGCTGGACTGCTGTGTTGAAATGAAAGCAGTTGGATGCTTCCACTGTAGAGTGACGAAACCATTTGTGTGAAGTGATTCTGTCACATGTGATTGGAACTATTGTGTATTCATTGCAGCATTCATTCTACAGTTCAGTAGTGCGGTGCAGTCCAGCCAATACATTATTCCCACTGCCAACCAGTCCTTGGCAAGCAAGCTAGTGAAGCTTGTATGGTAGCCCCCGAATGAAGATGCTCGTGGCGTGGATGCACACGCCGCATGAAAACAAATTTGTTTTGAGACATGGCCATACCACTGTGAACACGCAATCACATCTCATCTCACTGCTCGCTTAGGGAAACATAAGTTCATTGAAAAGATGACAGGGCAAGGAAACAGAGAGCACACTGCTGCATCACCCACTACTGAAAAGGCGACAAGATTGAGGAATTATTGCCATCGCATCTCATCTCATAGCATGGCATTGCATCTCATCTCATCCCATCGCATCACATAGGATGAGCATGGAGCCTTATGGGGCACATCTGCCTGCATCAGGACTGACTGGCAGGCTTTATTCGCTGCCTTGCACACCACCATGCCACGGTAGCTGCATTATTAGCGAGCGCTCTCGTGCTCCACACTACCTCGTTACAGCGCATTCCGTTATTAGCAGCAACTACTTCGCTTGAAACCCATCTTGCCGCAACGTCTAGAAGTTTTTGCTGCTCTTGTAGATCTCGCCGCCGCGCCACTTGCTCGGGATCACGCCGTCCAGCACCACCTGCTTCCCGCTGCCCGACACGCGCACGCTCACCGCGCGCCCCGCATCCACGACGACCGTGGCGGGGTTCAGCACCCACGTCGCGCCCCACCCGTTGTTCGTCATGCTCTTCCAGTCGCTGCCGTCCTTCGATATCTCCACCTTCTCCACTCGTCCGCGCCTCGCCGCTCCGAAAATCTGAAGCGCGAAGTAGTATTGGCCGGCATCGGGCATAAGTCTTACCGCCATTCCGCCGCTGCTAGAGCAATCCACCTGATCGTACGTGACCTCCACTTGCCCGCCCTGCCCGCCCACGAGTTTGTTCCACACGGGAGTGTCGAGGTTGAAGTTTTCGCCGGCCTGCCCGATCGCTCGCACTTTCACGGAGCCGCCCTTGCATGCGCGGCCCGTGCAGGAAACTTCGTAGCACGTTCCGCAGCCCTTGCTGTTGTCGAACTTGCTCGCAGGCACCTGCGCAACCATGCCGAAATAGGGACTATCGCGGAAGCGTCCTTCGAATCTGCTGTAACACGTGCCTTCGCCGCTCAGGTCGCCGGAGGTAGCCGGAACGGCGTCGGCAGGAGTGAGGGCGAAAGCGCCGAGCAGGACGATTCCGACACACAGCAGGCTGGCGACCTTGGAAACGCGAGCCATGGGGAAAAAAGGAGCAACGAGAAAAATCGGGATTGAATGAAGTGGATGCTAGAGGGCAGTGGCCGATTTCGATGATGCAAGGGTGAAACTGCAGGAGATTTATATGGCTTCGCGAGTGGGAGAGATTCAGGGGTTGGTTGGGGCTGGGGGGGTTCAGCGCAAAGTGCGGCTTCGAGTCGCCACGCCGATTTCCTCCCAGACCTTGGGCTGGTGCTGTGGAACGACAATAATTTTGAACATTTCGCGAAGTGACCTGTGGGCGACGGTAACGAAGTTGGGTTTAACGATGTCTGAAGGTCAAAGAGTGGGTTGGCGAGCGTCTCAACGAGAATTTCGAGAAGGGACGTGGTTTCGTCGGTTATGGTATTTGTTGGGAATACTTTCCAGGGGGATGACGTCGTTCCGTCAGTTACGGCTGGTGAGGTAAGAGGCTCAACGATTATTGGACCTTCGCAACGTTCGTCATTGGCTGTAAGGAGTATGAAACAGAAAACCATGCCAATGTTCAGTTTGAACGAAGCTCGAATTCTGGTAACTCTGCTCATTTGACGATCCACATCCACAGCCACATTTCGCAGGTGGTAACACGAGAATTGCTTTGCCTTCAGCAACTGACAGTCCCACTCCCAATTTCGTTACCATCGCCACGCGGTCAGCTCGTGGGGAGTTTGAAATTATTGCCATTCTGCAGCACCAGCACCAGAAAATCGGCATGGCGACTCGAAGCCGCACTTTGCGCTTGAAACCCCGAGTCGCAACTCCCGAATCTCTCCCACTCACCCAGCTATATTTATCTCCTGCTTTTCCACCCTTTCATCATCGAAATCGACCACTGCCCTCCAATCATCCACTGCCTGATATTTAATCTCGCTGTTTCCAACTTTGGATTTTTCTCGTTGCTCCTTTTTTCCCCATGGCTCGCGTTTCCAAGGTTGCCAGCCTGCTGTATGTCGGAATCGTCCTGCTCGGCGCTTTCGCCCTCACTCCTGCCGACGCCGTCCCGGCTACCTCCGGCGACCTGAGCGGCGAAGGCACGTGTTACAGCAGATTCGAAGGACGCTTCCGCGATAGTCCCTATTTCGGCATGGTTGCGCAGGTGCCTGCGAGCAAGTTCGACAACAGCAAGGGCTGCGGAACGTGCTACGAAGTTTCCTGCACGGGCCGCGCATGCAAGGGCGGCTCCGTGAAAGTGCGAGCGGTCGGGCAGGCCGGCGAAAACTTCAACCTCGACACTCCCGTGTGGAACAAACTCGTGGGCGGGCAGGGCGGGCAAGTGGAGGTTACGTATGATCAGGTGGATTGCTCTAGCAGCGGCGGAATGGCGGTAAGACTTATGCCCGAAGCCGGCCAATACTACTTCGCGCTTCAGATTTTCGGAGCGGCGAGGCGCGGACGAGTGGAGAAGGTGGAGATATCGAAGGACGGCAGCGACTGGAAGAGCATGACGAACAACGGGTGGGGCGCGACGTGGGTGCTGAACCCCGCCACGGGCGTCGTGGATGCGTTGCGCGCGGTGAGCGTGCGCGTGTCGGGCAGCGGGAAGCAGGTGGTGCTGGACGGCGTAATTCCGAGCAAGTGGCGCGGCGGCGAAATCTACAAGAGCAGCAAAAACTTCTAGACGTTGCGGCAAGATGGGTTGTGCACAGGGTGCGATATTTTCTGCTAACGGGATGCGCTGTGTCAAGGTGGTGTGCGCATGAGAGTGCGCGCTAATAATGCAGCTACCGTGGCATGATGGTGATGGTGCGGGTAATAAGGCAGTGAACACAAGGTAGCAAGGCATGTGCTACAGCTGCATGTTTGATGTTTTCTCGCACTGTTTTCAAGCTATCAATAAAGGGTTACTGCACTGCACAACGAATGCCATTGCGTTTCATCAATGAGCTGCAATGCAATGCACCATATTGGAGTTCATGCATGCAGACTTCAGTACACGGAAATCTGGCACAAGCCAAGTGAAGCACCTAGCGTTCTTTTCTTCAGCACACCAGAAAGCACAGAAAGCGACAGCAATGAAGCAGTCTGAAGCTACGATGCCATCACCGCCAGCCATCCCACCACAACACCCTGACATGCGGAATGCATAAAAGAAGATCCATCACCACTGTCTCCCACCCTCTTGATCAAGCAGCTGCCTGCCTGGTCCCTGCCCTGTTGCTCTGTGCCTTTCTCCTCGCTGCCCATCCACCAACCCTCACGGTCTCCACGGGGGTCTTGCCACTGCAACCTGGGTCATCCTGGCAGTCTGTCTCCAAGGGCGACTCACACCACCCTCCCTGCCCTGATGCTGCCTTGTGCTTCTCCCAACGTCTTCCTGCTGGGGTGGGACAGCCTCTGCCACATCTCCACGCCTCGTCTTCTCCACTGCAGCAGCAGCCTTCACTGCCGCTCTTGGCTTGGGAATGAGTGACGGAAGCAGCCTTAGAGCCGCAGTAGGAACTCGGGTTACCACCTTGGGGTTTGTCACTGACACGCATTGCGTTACAGATGCAACCTCCACAGCAGGCACGAACGATGGGATTCGATCATCGCTGCTGCAGGTGCTGCTGGCAACGCTTATGGTGTTGTCCCTGTTAGAACTACCACTGCTGCAGCTCAAGTCATCAGTTGAATCGCAGCTGCTGCAGATGGTGCTGGCGACGCTGACGCAGCCAAGGCTGCAGGGCAAGGCAGCACTCGGCTTCCAGGAAGGAACCGAGTGGCGTCGGTGGTGACAGCACAGGCGCTGGTGGTCTCATCGGAGCTCTCAAAACTGATTGAATCATTGCTCGTAGTGGTGATAAGTAGAGCGCCATTGCTGCAGGCGAAGTTATTGACAACGCTGCTGACCTTATCGTCGTCGTTCAGTCCGCCACTCGAGCTGCTGGAAGAGAACAGAGCATTGCTGTCCAAGCAGGGAGCGTAAGTGTCGTTGCTGGAGCTGCTGATCTGCGCGCACTCCTTCTGCAGGAGCTCGTTCTCTGCGGTTGCAGACGGAGCTGAGCAGGTCAGCTGCTGGCGAACTGTCGTCCGCCTCACTACAGCGCGGGCTTTCCAGAAACTCAGCACGTCGGTGTTGCTCACGAGGGTGGCTGCCATCCACAGGTGGTGCGGTCGAAGCTCGAACGAAGCACGGGAGTTGGAGAGTGTCTATGAAAGACTGGAGCTGCGGAGACTGGAGATTGTAGCAAGATCTGGAAGCAAACTTGCGGAATCTGAGACTGAATTGCTGGCAACTCGACTTTGTAGATTACGAGCCGAGAGGACGAGAGAGAGGAGGCATTAGGGTTGGCTGTCAGAAGAAACAAACGCGGTCAAACCCTCGCCTCCCTTGTTATGAGCGGCTCCGCTAACCGAAATCCGCGCTGCATGCTGCCCGGACTAAAACTTAGACCGTGATAATTATTTCGAAGCAATCCTCCTAGCACGGCGAACTCACGGCGGTTGGAGATGGAACATTTACGTCTACCCCCGATACGTGCCCGCGAATGAAACTTGCGATTTCATCGTTGCCCGCGAACACGATTAACGATTTTCTCGCTCGGTGAACGAATTGCGCCGAGGGGGTAGAAGGTTGTTGAGCACAAGGGCAAGAGCTCGGCGTGAGACCCGTACATTCCGCTGCCTTAGTGAAGTCGTTTCTACCCCCGACATATCTATGACGCTGTAACGGATCCACTAGTTAAAAGGGCATTTACCCATATAAAGATAAGTTCTAACACAAACAGAGAGTAGCAGCTCCTGGAAATGTCGAAGTCTGAGAGTTGCTAGGAAAATGCAGTAACAAATCTTGGAGGGTGAGTTGAGGAGAAGACAATCCTATTTCCCAATTGATTTGTTGGGAGTAGGAAATGAGGAATGAGCCAAGAGGCTTCAGACCCCTTCCCTAGACCCCCTTGGGGTGCAGCCACCTTCCCCATGGCAAGGAAGGGTGCACCACCATGGGCCTTGCCCATGTGGCAAAGGTTGATCCTTTTTACTCAATGACATGGCACAAACAAAGGGATAAAATGCTGTGTATGTAATATGTTATCCCTACCTGTCATGTTCTAACTGGTTGCAATTCCAACGCAAGAGTTGAGTTGGACTTCGAATGTTTGTGATTGGCTGTAATTCCAACCAGCGGCGAGAAACTTCTCGACTCACTTTGTATAAAAGTGTTCTGATTGGTTGGCTTGCCAACCAGTTCGTTTCCCCGCTTTCCAACAAGTTCAATTCCCCTTTCTCTTCCCAACCCAGGTTCAATGTATCGAGACCTTGGGTTGGTAGGAATCGATATGTTACACTCCTCCCCCTCCAGCTGGCAACGTCCTCGTTGCCGTGGGGTGCTTCTTAGGACGAGTGCTACGAGCACGACGAACCACATTACGACCAGGGTCAACACCATCCGCTGGTTGTGGGAGTGCTCGCTGAGCCAGGTCTTCCATGTAAGACTGAACCGCAGTATCAGTCAAATGTTCTTCCGGCTCCCATGAGTTGTGTTCAGGCCCATAGCCTTTCCACTTAATGAGGAACTCTCGTACAGTCTTGCGGCCGCGTTGTCGATCACGATGCAAAAGCACTCGTTCGACTTCATAGTACAGTTCCTCCCCTAGGACGATTGTTGGTGGTGGTAAGTACTTGCCTTCTGCAACGTACTTGCTTAACAGAGACACATGGAAGACATTGTGAATCTGCAGGGTATCAGGTAGCTTGAGCTTGTAAGCTACCGCACCAACTCGTTGAATCACCTCGAAGGGCCCAATCCAGCGAGGGAACAACTTTCTCGCACCAGGGATCTTAAGCCGAATATTCTTCGTGCTTAACAAAACTTTGTCTCCAACGGAGAACGAGATTTCCCGGCGTTTCATATCGGCATAGGATTTTTGCCTTTGTTGGGCCAATTGCAACCAACGACGTGCCGACTTTAGGGCCTCTCGTTGCTTGCCCACAAAATCCTTTGCGGCAGGTAATTTCAAACCGCCGATCCCATGCGTAGCAGGTGTTGTGGGATGCCGACCACAGTTCAGGATAAATGGTTTTTCATGTGTGCTATCATGCACTGAGTTGTTAACCGCAAACTCGACCATGGGTAACAACTCGTCCCAGTTGTCCTGTGTTGGGCTTATGAAAGAACGAAGCATCTGCTCGAGAGTGCGGTTAGTCCGTTCCGTTTGCCCATCTGTTTGGGGATGGAACGCTGACGACATCTTAAGCTTCGTTCCTAGTGTCTCGGTTACTTCACGCCAGAATCGGCTCGTGAAGCGTGGGTCGTGATCAGACACTAATACACGTGGCAATCCGTGTAGGCGGAAAAAATGTGACACGAACAACCGAGCCGTATCCTCGGCTGATACGTCCGTTGTCGTGGGTACAAAGTGCACCATTTTTGTAAGGCGATCTACAAAGACAAGTATCGCCGTACACCCATCACGGGTTCTTGGGAGGTCGGTGATGAAATCCAGTGAAACGCTTTCCCAAGGTTCACTCGGAATTTCAAGTGGTTGAAGCAAACCACCAGGCTTCTGTGTGTCCGGTTTGTTACGTGCGCACGTGTCACAACGTGCCACAAACTGTTGGACATCACTACCGACCCCTGGCCACCAGTATACATCGCGTAAGGCCCTCTGGGTCTTATTCATGCCCAAGTGTCCCCCATATTTAGTGGCGTGCACCTCTTCCAAGATATCGTTCCGCAGATTGCCGACATGAGGTACCGCAATCTCTTTTGTTCGCCACCAAAGATCGTGTTCCCAAGTCAAATGCTTAGTGTTTTGTGGGTTCTGGAACCAGGAATCGATATGATATCCTGTGCGAATTCGTTTCGGAAAGCCACTAAACGCGATCTCGCTCACTTTCGCCGCAGCTAGTATGCCAAAACAGGCAGCAAAAACAGCCGCATGTTCGGTATCGTCAAGCCCAGTTGCTGCCCCTATCGGCTGTCTGCTGAGGGGGTTCGTGGAACCTGCACGATAACGAATGTCGAAACTGAACCCACTAAGGAGTTCAGCCCAACGGGCCTGACGGCGAGTGAGGGTAGCTTGGGTAGAAAAATATGTGTTCGGACAATGGTCAGTGGTGACCACGAACTCTACCCCTTCCAAGTAACATCGCCATGTTCTTAGCGCATGCACGACAGCCAACAACTCTTGTTCGGTAGTCGTGTAGCGTTGCTCTGCCGGGGAGAGTTTTCTACTCTCAAATGCCACAGGGCGTCCTTCTTGCAGGAGTACTGCACCAAGTCCCACCGTTGAGGCGTCCGTAACCACCTCATATGGCTTCTGTAGGTTTGGCAACACCAAAACTGGTGCGTTAGTTAATTTATGCTTGACCTCTTCGAAAGCATTTTGGCACTGTGGAGTCCACTCCCATGCACACGCTTTTCGGGTCAATGCCGTGAGGGGAGCGACTATCGTGGAATAATTTTCCAAGAAGCGACGAAAATAATTCGCCAAGCCCAAGAATGATCGAACTTGGCCAACGTCGCGTGGGACGGGCCACTCCTGGACAGCTGCTACCTTCTTGGGGTCCACTTTCAGACCGTTGTGCCCCACCACGTGTCCCAAATACTCCAGCTCACGTTTGTAAAAATGGCATTTCCACAAACGCGCGTAGTATTTATACTCGCGTAATTTTCCAAGGACCCATTTCAGGTGTTCCGTATGCTCGTCTTCGGTTTTCGAGTATACCAGGATATCATCGAGGTACACCAAGACGAACTGGCCAATCGCATCACGAAACACATCGTTCATCGCCCTCTGGAAAGAGGCCGGAGCGTTGGTCAAGCCAAAACTTAACACACGCCACTGAAAATGGCCGAACGGCGAACGGAAAGCCGTCTTTGGAACATCGTCCTCTGTTATACGCAGTTGGTGATAGCCTTGCGCCAAATCCAGTGCACTGAACCATTGCGCACCCTGTAGTCGATCAAATAAATCTTCTATCCGCGGAAGTGGATATCTATTTTTGATCGTAATTTTATTCAGGGCTCGATAATCGACGCACATTTGCAGTCCACCTCCCTTCTTGTGAACAAACAAGATAGGTGCTCCATATGGGGACGCGCTGGGTTCTATCCATCCCTTCCTGAGGTATTCCTCAATTTGTTGCTTAGCCTCCTCGTACTCAGCTGGACTGAGGCGATACAGAGGTCTAAACGGTGGTGCCTTTCCTGGTTCCACCGGGATGGTGTGGCCAACTGCACGGTCAGGAGGTAACCCGTCCGGAATTGGCTCAAAAACCTCAGAATATTCCTCCGCCAACGCCTTCATTTGAGGCGGAAAATCCTCAATAATCTGCGAAGTGGTTGGTTCGGAGTCTAGCTGTACAACAAAAAGTGTATCAGCTCCCTTGACATGCTCTTTGAATTGGAGAGCCGACGCAAAGCGTACATCAAGAGCTAACGTTTGAGGTTTGTCGTCCAGTGCTTGGCGTCTTGGGACTTGCCATTGAAACGTCGTCCCATTCTTTGTGAATGAAAGCGTGTTATCTTGGAAATTTAATATCACCTCATTAGGCCGTAGCCAATCCATTCCCAAGACAATGTCTACGCCTGCTAGGAGGGGTAAGACAAAAACGCTGACGGTCTCCTGATATCCTTGGATATCCAGGTTGACCAATGCATGTCCTCTGCATGGGATGATCCTGTCATCCCCCAGACGGATAGAACAAGATGGTCCTTGAACAGGCACATTCAAATACCCCATCCATTTCTCATCGATCAATGACGCAGTCGCTCCTGTATCAACCAGGATCGAGGCACTGCGCCCATTTACGCAACCCGAAAACAAAAGGTTTTGCTGATGTTTGGGTCGAATAGGATATGCTGTAATATCAGTGGGAGGCAAATAATATGCCTTAATGCCGTGCTTGCTGCGTCCAAAAGAACGAGCTTGTGTCCACCACACATGGTGTCCTTTATCCCACTGCGCTAACACGCTCCATCCTTGAAGTGCTCGAAACAATTTACCTCGAACTGTGCGCGTTACCATTCCAACCGCAGTTAGAGGGTGCGCTTGGGTGCAACGACCCACCACATCCATTATCCAAGGCAAATTATGTTGATCACAAAATATAAGTGAGAATTTATCTCGTAATGATTCAACTGTGATATTTTCCAGTGGGTGAAATCGAGAGGCAAACAAAGAGCTTTCATTAAAAGCAAATGCATACACATATGCAATTTTGCAATCAACAAGGCACTCGAGTTTCAACAACTCCTCATCCCGCAGGACCACTGCCTCATCCTCTCGATCTGCTATGCCCGCTAGGTACCCACCCCCTAGTTGGGCTTTGCAAAATCCCGCTGGCTGCCCGAGGGACCACTGCCGTCATTGCGCTTGTTGTCCGTCTTAGCCTTGCCAGAGTACTTCACCGACTTGCGGTGGCGGCACTCATAGCCCTTGTGTCCAGGCTTGCCGCACTTGAAGCAGCTCTGGACATTGCTTGGTCCACCCTCATTGACCTTCTTGGCCTTGTGGTCAGCCTGCTGTCCCTGCTGGAAGGGCCTCTTGTGGTTCCCGCCCTTCCAAGGCGTTCCCTGCTGCCTTCCACTCGGACCCGCAGTGCTAGAAGACGGCCTTGAGGCCTGCTGCGGCTGGGTAGTGGTTTTGGCATAAGCACGGAAGTGCTTATCAGTGGTCCCCACCACGCGCTTCACGTGATCATAGGACCGCCATGCCTCCCCAGCCCCATCCGTCATATGCATGTTCTTGAGGTGCTCAGGCAGCCCCCTGAAGAACAGATGGATCTTCTCACCCTCGCTCATGCGTTCTGCCGGTTTCTGCAGCACCCAGATCTCCTCGAACTCCACAGCGTACTGCTGCACTGTGCGGTTCCCGCACTGCAGCTTCTCAAGGCGACTGCGCACCTCCAGCTGGGTCGGCTGGACCTGGAAGGCTTGCTTGAGTGCAGATGCGAATTCCTCCCATCCAAACGGCTTCCTATCCGCCTCAGCCTGGATCTTGCTGCCATACACCACTCGCTGTGCATTCTGGTCCAGCACGGTGGTGGCAGCGACGACGCGAGCGTCGTCTTGGACCTTGTGCGCCTTGAACAGGTCGGTCATCATCGACAGCCACGCAGCCACGTCCGTCTTGCCATGGATGAATGGCGGCAGGGTGATTGGCAGAGAGCCAAAAGCCTGCGTGCTCGGCTCAGCAGCGCGCTGCGTAGAAGGACCAGGGTCACCCACTGCACCACCAGAGCGAGAAGGGTTGGTGCGACCGCTAGCAGAGTTGGCAGGCGGTTCCGCTCGTGGTGCAGGGCGATACATGGTCTCCCTTCGGAGGGCACTGAACGCCTCGCGCAGCTCGTTGATCTTTGAGGTCTGCCTCGCCAGCTGATGAACGTGCTCCCGGGCGTCGTGCTTCATGTTCTTGAGCTCAACTTCCAGGTACTTGATTTTGTTGTCCTGGTCAGAGTGCTCCCTCTTGAGGTTGGTAATGAGTGACTGCTGCTGCTGGATGCGCGTATCCTGCTCAGCAGCATGGTCCTGCAGCTTAGCAATTTCAGCATGCAAAATGTCCTCTTCCCCTTCCAACTCAATGTCATCCTCCTGAGACTCCCCTTCCTGCTCCTTGGAATTTTCAGCAGCTGAAGGGTCCTTAGCAGGGGAGTTTTCAGCAGGTTCCTTTTCAGCCATTTCCTCATCCAAGTTGTTCAGGTCAATCTTCTGCACACAAGCTTCCAGATCAGCATGGGAGTTGGTGCCTTCAACACCACCAGCCTTGGAGTTGGTAGAAGCCATTTAGAGCAAAGTCACTGTATTATAAAAATGAGTTACAGATCTACTGCAAATTGTTACCACCGCAGTGAATAACCAAGATTTTCTCCAGAGGAGAAATGTCTTCAATAGATCTTACAACCACAACAATGTGAAAAACACCTCTGTTGCAAAATATCCTTACCACCGCAGTGGATAAGGCAAGAACAATCACAAAGTGATTGTCTTCAACAGAGAATGTTAATACACACAGGTTGCAACTTCTCCACAGTAGCTCCAATGGTTCCACCAGCAGGGAGGGAGGGCTTAGAACTCTTGGAGAAGCTTGTAGATCTTGAAAACTGCTTGAGTAGCTTGTAGTCTTCACAAGTTTATAATATGGTGATTACAATGAAAATCACAACTTCTCCAAGAAAAGAAAAAAAAAAAAAAAGGAAAAATCCTCTTAGATGCCCACAAGGCGAGGATCTACTAATAGCTCTGATTACCAATGTAACGGATCCACTAGTTAAAAGGGCATTTACCCATATAAAGATAAGTTCTAACACAAACAGAGAGTAGCAGCTCCTGGAAATGTCTAAGTCTGAGAGTTGCTAGGAAAATGCAGTAACAAATCTTGGAGGGTGAGTTGAGGAGAAGACAATCCTATTTCCCAATTGATTTGTTGGGAGTAGGAAATGAGGAATGAGCCAAGAGGCTTCAGACCCCTTCCCTAGACCCCCTTGGGGTGCAGCCACCTTCCCCATGGCAAGGAAGGGTGCACCACCATGGGCCTTGCCCATGTGGCAAAGGTTGATCCTTTTTACTCAATGACATGGCACAAACAAAGGGATAAAATGCTGTGTATGTAATATGTTATCCCTACCTGTCATGTTCTAACTGGTTGCAATTCCAACGCAAGAGTTGAGTTGGGCTTCGAATGTTTGTGATTGGCTGTAATTCCAACCAGCGGCAAGAAACTTCTCGACTCACTTTGTATAAAAGTGTTCTGATTGGTTGGCTTGCCAACCAGTTCGTTTCCCCGCTTTCTAACCAGTTCAATTCCCCTTTCTCTTCCCAACCCAGGTTCAATGTATCGAGACCTTGGGTTGGTAGGAATCGATATGTTACAGACGCACTACGCCACATTTCTAGGGCAGGTGCGGAGCAGATTCTGGGAAAATGTGGACAATCTTGCGAGATTAACGGGGCATTCTGGTTACACGCTAACATTCGCGCATCCAGCATCGCAAACCGGGAAAATGTCGGAAACAGGGCTTGGTTTCGGGACAGCTTGGGGCCTACGATCAGTTTCTAGGCTGAGCAAATTAGTTTCTTGAGCATACTGAGGGCGTATCCCTGGCTGGTGGCAGGGCCTCTGTAGCTGGCAGGGTTGGCGGCAAATTTCCCGAAAACACAGGGGGGGCAGAAAATGCGCATGCCACCAACAGTGCTAGCTACAGTCGCCCTGCCACCATCCAGGGATACGCCCTGAGGAGTTCGAAAGGGATGGATCAGATACTCGTTACACAGGTCCGCACAAACGTGAAACTGCTTTGATCGAAATTACTTTGGAAAATGTTGTGAAGTGTGGATACACTTTTCCAGCACCCTCTGGGTTATGCGCTGGTAACCTGAATGGCAGCAGGCGAAAGGGTGTCGCACAGTCACAGCGCGACTCACGGGTACCTGCCTTCATCAAAGCGCCAGGTGCCCACAGCTTTCCCAATACGGCTCGCAGGCAGGCACTTCCAGACATTTCGCCGTCGCTAGCGGAGCACACGGGTTAGGCGCAGCTGAATTTGTTGAATTCCGTTGAGCGCACTCACCCTCAGCTTCCTCCGCAAACTGGCTGCACTGCGCCGGATGGATTTGTTTAAAGCAGGGGTATACATTTGACAGCACTGTTGTTTCTCTACAGTGTGCAAGGCGATTTCGCCTCAACGAACAGAAAAACTGAATTGCGAGAGTGTTGGCGAACAATTGAGACGCTTCTGACATGAGTCACAAAATGGTAAAGGGATCCCGTCACCAAACTCACCTTCCTCCTCACACTAGGGAGAATAGACCAGCAGTATTCTATACCGTCGCAACTAATAGCTAATATATTAGGTAGAAATAACTTAGGCGCGGGCCGGAGGGTGCTAGACCTGCAGCGCGACCACATACATAGACGCGGGTGAGTAATAAGCCATGCGCATTACAGGCGCCACCTTCGAGCCATCTCAAAAATTTCGCCCTTAAGAATGACAATTTACAGCCATTTCCGCCCAGAATTGATGGGCTGTAAATAGGCTGCTTCGTAGGCGTTTAGGGACTGTGAATTGCCCGCCTGTACATTGAGCAGAATGGCAATTTACGCCAATACACATCTATACCGAATTCATTATTCATGGCCGGATATGGGGGTAACATGTGCCACGATCAGAAGTTGATCGTTCCCAGGATCTACTCGGGAAGGTTCGCACAAAGAAAAATGAAGTTGGTAGGCCCTTGACCTCAATAGCAGAGTGAATGTAAAATGCTTGAGATGAAATAAAACATGCAAATACAACAACTATAAATATGAGTACAGGGAAGGCGAAACGTCCTAGCTAGCCATGTACTCTAAGGGGTACATTCCCTTATTCAAATTCATTCCCAACCGTGCGGCGCGTACAGTTACGAAACTGTTCCCGCCAAAGCCATCCTGCCTGCAGCTGTCCGATGCCATCTGCTCCGACGGTCCAGATGCAGCTTAACCGTCTGACGCTTCGAGTCAACTCTGACTCTTCGTGTTCATTCTCGATACTGCATGCTTCCTTTGCTGCGGTGAGGAGTGCACAGTAATGAACAAATGTTACTATTCGTAACACCCCCCTTCACTCCTGGCCGTAGCTCGACTTGACCTGCTTGACCACGCCGCTGAGTTCGGAGCAGTGCTGATACTGCTGGCGTGGCAGTCGCTTTGTGAGGAAATCCGCTGCCATGTCACCGGTCGGGCAATAGGTCAAGTTGACCTTGCCCTTGTCTACTTCGTCCTTCACGAAGAAGTACCGCAGCGCAATGTGCTTGGTGCGGTTAACGAAACCAGGTTTGTTCGCGATCCGAATCGCGCTCTGGTTGTCGCAGTGAAGACGAAAGGTGGGCGAAGCCGGAATTTTCGCCTCCTGCAGGAGTTCCTGCAAGTAGAGTCCTTCGCGAACTGCTGCGGTTGCTGCGATGAATTCCGCTTCGGCTGATGACAGGGCAACCAGTTCCTGCTTCTGCGAGTTCCAGGAGATTGGTCCCGTTGGTTCGAGTCGGAACAGGAAGCCAGTCCTGGACCGTCGATTGTCGGGATCTGCTGCATGATCGGCATCCACGTAGCCGATGAGATTGAAGGATGGGGTTGGTGCAGTTGAGTAGCACAGTCCAATCTTGGGCGTTGAGACGAGGTACTGCATGGCGCGCTGCAGATCCAGAAGGTTCTCAGCCGTTGGTTTGCGTGAGTACTGGGCCAGCTGACTTGCGATGTAGGAGAGATCTGGCCTGCAGGTGACAGAGGCGAAGAGCAGGCATCCCAGCTGCTGCTGGTAAGTCTGGATTCCAGCAGGGGGTAGAGCTTTGTTGTCAGGTTTGTGGTTCGGTCCGGGGGTTCGGTAGGGAGTTGAGAGAGGTGCAGGTGAAATGTTGAACCTCTTCCCTAACTCCTCTGCGTACTTAGCCGCTGAGAGGTGAATGGCCTCAGGCGCGTAGGAGATGTTGAGGCCTAAGAACTGCTTCACCTCATAGTTGCATGTGATGTCGACGCGCCCCGCTAGGGCTTTCTCGAACTGCTCGAGTAGCTCATTGTTTGAGCCTGTGTAGAGCAAGTCGTCGACGTAGACCGTGAGGAGGATGTATTCGCCCCGGAAGTCGCGGCGGTACATCCCTGGATCGTGCGGCATCTGCTTGAATCCGATTTCAAGCAGGATGTTGTGTAGGTACTGCTGCCACAGCCTCGGCGCCTGCTTGATCCCGTAGAGTGACTTGCGCAGTTGGCACACGCGCGAGTCCCCTTCACCGTATGTATGCGGCTGCTCCACGTAAATCACGGCGTCTACTAGCGAGTATAGGAACGCATTCTTGACGTCGATCTGGCGGAGAGGTAGGTGCCTTGCAGCTGCGATGGCGAGCAGGATTCGAACGGAGGTGTGGCGGCTGACTGGAGCGAACGTCTGGTCGAAGTCGATTCCGTGCCTCTGGTCGTAGCCGCGCACTACCCAGCGCGCCTTGAAGCGCTCGATCAACCGTCTGCTGCGGTTTTCATGCGGAAGACCCACTTGCCCGAGAGGATTCTTGCGCCTTTGATTGCCGCGCGGTCGACTAATACCCAGGTGTCTCGGGACTCGAGCGCTTTAATCTCTGCGTCCATTGCTTCGCGCCACTCCTTGCTGTGTGGTCCAGAGAGAGCTTCGCGCGGGTTTCGAGGCTCGATGACACGTGACGCTTTTGAGGTTGCAGTGTGAAGCCCGAGTAGTTGCAATCGTGAGACGGTGCTGTCGTGACGCTGTTGCGGGGTGACTTCCTGCACATCGTCATCATCGCTCTCTGGTTCAGGTGGCGCCGGTGATCCTGTGCCTCTGCCGCTTCCGCCTGTTCCGCCCATTCCTCCTCCCGAGGAATCGTCGTCGTCGTTGCTGCTCGCCTCTTGTATCGTGCTCTCGTCGTCTTGCTCGCCTCTTGTATTGTTGTTGTTGTTGCGTAGCTGTGCCCGTCGTTCGCGTAAGCGCGATTCGCGTTCGTTTCCTCGTCGTGACGGAATTGGTCGAGGAAGAGGCGCTCGTAGAAGATTACGTCGCGAGCGTGGGCGATTTTCCGGCTGAGGAGGTCCAGCACGATCCACGCTTTGTACTCGTGGCTGATGCCGAGGTGGATTCCCCAGCGCGCGCGGCTGGCGAATTTGCCGATGGTTGATGTCGGCGGGCGGTACTGCACCATGCACCCCCACACGCGGAGCATGGAGGTATCTCCTTTGGTCCCGGTCCATTTGACGTGCGGGGAGAGATTCCCGGTGATTGCAGTGGTTGAAAGCAGGTTGTGCA